AGTTACCTGGTTTTTGAGATATGCAAATATGGTAGGAAAAATAATGGCTCCAATCATAGGAATCTATGAATATGTAAGAGTACATGGCAAAAGGGAATTTAGGTTGTAGATGTGATTAAGATTGCTAATCAGCTGACTAAAAGAAAGAGATTAGGATGATCCAGGTGGGCTGATTGTAATTACAAGTATCTTTACCTTAAAAGAGGAAAGTGGGAGAGTCAGAATTAGAGAAGTGAAGATGGAAGCAATGTTAGAGTGATCCATTTTTCTGACTTTGAAAATGAGGGAGAAGCCAAGAGTCTAGGAATGTAGCTGGTCTCTAGAAGCTAGAAAAGAAAATAGATGACTTCCTAAAGCTTTCTAAAGGAAAGACAACTCAGTTATCTCTTGATCTTAGAACAGAAAGTCAATTTTGGACTTCAGATCTACAGAACCATAACTGAGGAGTCTGGCACTGGCAAAACCATGATTGTTTAGGACTGGCTACAGGCAACTACAAAGGTTTTACTAGGCAGGCCTCATAGGAAAAGCTGCCCACCCTCCTACCCACCCCTCCCCCCCCACATGCACACACATGCATGCATGCGTGCACACACATGCACACACACATGCACGCACACGCACACACACGCACCCACACACACACATACAGCAGGCTTTGTGCACAGCCAGGGCTTTGTAATCTCTGAAGGGAGTTGCAGTGAAGGACTCAGGCCCCTTTATATGCTCTTCATATATTTGCATTCCTAGTTCAATTGCCTTCATTTCTAGGTCTCTTTATTTGAGACCTTGTGCAGAGGTCCTCTTCAGGCACCTCTACACCAAGGCCTTCTAAAGTAGGGGAGGTGGGAGAAATCTCAAATTTTTTTTTCCCCCCATCCAAACTTGGTACCTAGTACTTTTCTACTTCTAGACTCTTCCAATACGAATCCATATAACTGCTGCACCCTTTGGTTCAGGGCTATATCAGTGAGGGTTCACACATCTGCATTGATCGTTCTAACACTCGACTGGTACAAAATTCCACAGAGGAAATGGGACAGGAAGTTTCTCCAGTTTTAACCTCTTGCTTATACCAGTATAGTGAGATATTAAAGCCTTAACACTCATTTTCGGCTCATTGCTTTAATCAGCTACTCCAACACCTAACAGTTTAGCTCTCAATTCCAGCTCAGTTGAGTTCTTGATACTAAGCAATATATCCGTGTTGTTTTAAGTCACTCAGGTTGTTATAATTTGTTACAGTGGCAGTAGAAAACTGATACAACTAAGACTTTATCAATATTCAATTAGAAACTGTATCATTTAAGTACATGTAACTTGCTTTTACTAGGAGAAACACTTAAAATAATCCCAAATCACTTAAACACATTTGGGCTAAATATACTCTTGATCAGATACCATATTTTTCCCAGTAATAGAAATCTTGAAGCATAGCTTAAACAAGAAATTTTAGGATGGACAAGTTCCTCGTTGGCAGCATGAATAACTGTGTGAAATCTCCAGTAACATAATCATAATTAGGAAAAGTACTTAAAAAGAGCTATTTAAAGTGTATGGAGATTATCCTAAGTAATTACAGCAAATGAAAGAAAAAGCTAAACATACCAAATATTGGAGAAAAAATGAGTCTGGGGCATTAGTTTCATGACCCTTTCTCACTGTACCATTTCAGTGACAGAAGCTCACCTCTGGGCAGAGGTGTTCAAGAACATGGACTCCCCCCATCCACCTTCCACCCCCAACCAAAGCTTATTGTTTCTTCTGGAGGGACAGGTCACAACCAGCAGCCTCACATTGCAAAAGTTCTCTTCCAGGCAAGAGTATGGCCAAAAGATTCTTTCTCCCCAATCATAAGGCAGAATAGCAGAGAATGGTGTATCCTGAATCGACCCTTGCCAAGGCTGAAAGGCTGATGTAAGTTAGAGGTGCCGTGCTGGGAAAGGACTACCCGTGAGGATCAGAGGTTAAATATCCCTGTAGGATCCTTGACCAGTGAAACTGATGCGTCAAACTGAGAGAGAACCAAGGAAAGACACAACTAAGAAGAGCCCTCCTGGGGTCTAAACTTTTTTAAGTGTTGAAAGACAAAGACAAAAGAAAACCTTGAAAGTAGGAACAGAAATGCCCTCACTGTATATATACAAGAACCCTGATGAAATTAACAGTGGATTTATCATCAGGAACAATGAAGTCTAAAAGGTTGTAGGATGATATATTCAAAGTGTTTAAAGAAATCCTATCAGTCTAGAGTCTGCTAGCCAGAAAAAAATATTAATATCTTTCAAAACTGAAGGCAAAGTAAAGACATTTTCAAACAAACTAATACTCAGAGAATTTATTTCTTGCACATGGCTTTACAGGAAATACTAAAAGATGTTCTTTGCGCTGAAAGCAAGTGTCTTAGTAATTTGAATACATACACACACATGCATATAGAGGCCTTTGAAATGTAATCACATAATGTAAAAGAAGTATGATTTTATATTTCTTCTCCTTTCTTCTTTTAACTGATTTACTAAAATTTTCAATTTAAAAATAAGAATATAATTTTACTGTAGGACCTGTAACACATAGAAAAAAATATATTTGACAATAATAGCAGAAACAGTGATTGGAAACAAAACCACAGGAGGAAGGTAAGGAAACAACACTAGGCAATAACTCAAATTCACAGGAACAAATGAAGAGAAACAGAAATGGTAAACAAGGAGGTTAATATAACAAATTCTGCCTATAGATGTGATTTTTTAAAATTTCTACTAGACATAAAATTATATAGAGTAATATTTTCAAAATGCATTTCTGGCTTATAACATATAAAAATGCACTACGTATATCATACTAGCACAAAATGTGGGCAGGGGTAATAAAACTATCTGAGAAATGCTTTTATGTTCACTGGAATTAAGCTATTTTAAATCTAAAGTAGATTCAGATAAGTTAAAATGTATATGGTAAGCTGCAGTATAACCATGAGGGAAACCAGATTAACATAGCTAAAAACCTTTAGTGGTATTAAAAATATATATTAGAAAATACTCATATAATGCAAAAGAGAATATCAGAGTAAAAGAAAAAAAGAGATAAGACAGAGAGAGACAAAGTGTGAAATGGCAAAGGTAGATCCAACCATATAAACAATACCCTTAAATATGTATTGATAAATACTATCAATATGAAAGACAGAGGTTGTTCTCCTATACAAAAAACCAAGATCCTACTATATGCTGTTTACCAAAGACATGCTAGATTCAACATACTATTAATAATAGTTTGAAAAATTAAAAAATGTAAAGTATATCATGCAAAGAGAAAACTTAAAGCTGAAATGGCTATACTGTTATCAAAGTAGATTTAAATCAAAAAAGTTCTTAGAGATAAATAGGATCATTAAAAATGGCAACAGAGGCAATCCACCAAAAAGCTATACCAATTACAAAAATAGGTATACATAAAAACAAAGCCCCTATGTATACAAAATAAAAATTAAGGGAAATAAATAATATAGCAGAATTGAGGGAGACAACACAGCAATGATAATTTCAATGTCTAATTTTCAACAGTTGATTGGACAACTAGGCAGAGGATCAATAAAGAAATAAAATACCTTAACAACACTATAAACTATAACTGTAGACTAGATCAGACATAAATAAAATATTCCACCATAAAATAGCAGAACAGAGATTATTCTCAAGCACACATTGGACACAATCCAGAACAGCTGAAATCCTAGACCATAAAACTAATTCCAATGAATTTAAAAGATACAGAACAATACAATACCTATTCTTACACCATAATAGAATAAAATTAGAAACGAGTAACAGGAAAAAATTAAAAATCAAAACCATGTGATGATTACATAACATTACATTCCAAAAGAGCCAATGGGTCAATGAATAAATCACAAAAAAAATTTCTCTGAAAACATTTTAAGATGAAAAACAAACACTGAAACTTGTGGTAGGAAACTAAATCAAAGCTTAGAGGAAATTTATAGCTGTATAAATGCATATGTTAAAGAGAAGGTCTCATATCAAACACTACATTATAGGTTCCCTGTAAATTGATCTACTGGAATGATTTATGAAATGTGAAATAATGTGCTTAGATATGAAATGTAAGGACACTACTATAACTCCATTATTATCAACAATATATGATGTAATCTATTTGATATATTAATTTTAAATGATTAAGGCAAAGTTTTCACTATCTTTTTCTGGATATAGTTTACTCAGTTTATTGCTAAAAATTGTTAAAATAAGTTAACTTTCAATATATAATTTAGTTTTTATAACTTTCTCCTCCATAGCACTTATCTGAAACATCAAAGCGAAGCAAAAATTATTTCCCACCTGTCATTGTAAATCATGAAATAAGTTGCACTCTACAAATACACATTTCCACAAACTCCCAGTTCCTTTTTCAATAAGCCAAGCACAGAAACAAATCTGAGACAGATTTGTTGGTTCACAATCTGGGGAGTTGGGGTGAAATTCCAAACCGGCCATCCCTTCTGAGGAGAGCCAGGAGAGGACGAAGAGAGGGATAGACCACCTCAGACTGGTAGGTGGTGGATTTAAGTTTTAATAAGCAAGGCGACTTACTGATAAGGTTCGTCTTTGGCGGCCACAAGTGAGTAGGTAGACCTCTGCTCTCGCCAACCAGAAGCTTAGAACTTTTTATAAAGCATCCTTAATGAGGTTCCATCACCCTTCAGTTCTCTCTAGACTGTGTCACTAACGCATAGCTCACGGCAGGCTGCGCCCGAGGCAGAGCTGCGGCTGCGCACTGGGAGCAGTGGGCGGGGCCTAGATTCCGAGGCCCAGGAGGCGGGGATGGTGCCTTGGCAGAGCTGCAGGCGCACTAGGAGCAGTGGGCGGGGCCTAGATTCCGAGGCCCAGGAGGCGGGGATGCTGCCTTGGCAGAGCTGCGGCTGCGCACTGGGAGCAGTGGGCGGGGCCTAGATTCCGAGGCCCAGGAGGCGGGGATGCTGCCTTGGCGAGCCTGCTAGTCCGAGCCCTGGGGATTCCTCCCGTCCTGCTCTCGGTTCAGTCAGCCGTTATGTCGTTTCCGTGACCTCCTCCAACAGGGTTTTAGGTAAGTAAATACTGTTTGTCTTGGTCCATCCTTCTTTGTTTATAAGTAATACTTTTGTTTGGAAATTCTTTGGAAAAGGAACTAAAGAAAGAGGCCGTTTTCTCAGAAATGAAATAAAATGCTACATTTTTGTGGGAATTTTTCAACAGACCACTGAATCATAAAAAAAACGTATTTTCAAACTTGAAAATTGTACCGTGCTTCAAAAAGGTTATTTGAAACAGTACCATTTTTTTTAAATGACTAACCATTTCTGACTGAGCTACTGAAAAAGCATCTCCTGTGATTTTTCTTTATATCTTTGTAAAAAAATAATTGTATATAGGTGTGTATATATTCTTCAGCAACTTACTTGATTCCATCTCTGTACTCACATCAGAAACACCCTCGTAATTAATATTGTATGATTGTAACTTTCAAAATCTGGTAGAATAAATCCTCCAACTTGGAATTCTTGTTCAAGATTGTCTAGGCTATTCTAAAGCAATTTTGTTCAAATATAAATTTTAAGATCATGTTGCAAAATTTCACAACTATAAAACTGTTAAAGCTCCTTGGGATTGTATTTTGTTTTTTATCACATCTGTTTTTATTTATGCTGATTTTTTTTTTATTTTAATTGGAGGCTGATTACTTTACAATGTTGTGGTGTTTTTTGCCATACATTGACATGAATCAGCCACGGGTGTACATGTGTTCCCCATCCTGACCCTCCCTCCCACCTCCCTCCTCATCCCATCCCTCAGGGTCATCCCAGTGCATCAGCCCTGAGCACCTTGCCTCATGCATTGAACCTGGACTGGCGATATATTGTATTGAATCAATATAATTTGGGGATATCAAAATAACTTGACATCCTAAGTTATTTGCTAATTAAGAAATATGGTATACAGCTGAGTTTGTCTTTTAAATTTCTGTCAGCAACATGATCTGACCATATTAGACTCTTCTTTGATAATTAGTATATTTAGGCTATTTTTTTAATTTTTATTTAGGCTATTTTAAATGAAATTTTAGATTACATTTTTAATTTCATGTGTCAGTATATTGAAATATGGTTGATTTGTATGTATTTAATTGACTTATTACTAATAGTGCATTTTATAGGTACTTTGAAAGTTTTCATATATTCATGTCAATTGCATAAGAGCTTTATGTCTTTTAAATCTTTATTTTGTGTTACTACATTAGTTAGGAAGTCCATCATAATAATGAACCAAAGAGTGAACAAAAATGCATCTTTATCTTTTGTCTTTTTTTTTAATGCTGCTTCTTTTTATTTATTTATTTTTCCCATTTATTTTTATTATTTGGAGGCTAATTACTTTACAATATTGTAGTGGTTTTTGCCATACATTGACATGAATCAGCCATGGATTTACATGTGTTCCCCATCCCAGTCCCCCCTCCTGCCTCCCTCTCCATCCCATCCCTCTGGGTCTTCCCAGTGCACCAGCTCTGAGCACTTGTCTCGTGCATCCAACCTGGATTGGTGATCTGTTTCACCATTGATAGTATACTTGTTTCAATGCTGTTCTCTCAGAACATCCCACCCTCGCCTTCTCCCACAGAATCTAAAAGTCTGTTCTGTACATCTGTGTCTCTTTTTCTGTTTTGCATATAGGGTTATCGTTACCATCTTTTGTAAGGACAAGTTTGATAGTTAACAATTAATTATAAGATGCCAATAGGGTATTTGTAGATATTTTTTATAACTTTGGAAATATTTGCTTCTGATTCTAGATTACTTCCCGGATAATTCTAGGGCTTCCCTGATGGCTCAGTTGGTAAAGAATCCGCCTGCAATGCAGAAGATTCTGGTTTGATTCCTGGGTTGGGAAGATCCGCTGGAGAAGAGATAGGCTACCTACTCCAATATTCTTGGGCTTCCCTTGTGGTTCTGCTGGTAAAGAATCCACCTGCAATGCTAGAGACCTGAGTTTCATCCCTGGGTTGGGAAGATCCCTGGAGAAGGGAATGTCTATCCCCTCCAGTATTCTGGCCTGGAGTATTCAATGGATTGTGTAGTCTATGGGGTCAGAAAAGAGTCAGACGTGAAGAGCAACTTTGACTTTCACTTTTTCACTCCTGCTGCTGCTGCTGCTAAGTCACTTTAGTTGTGTCTGACTCCATGTGACCCCATAGACGGCAGCCCACCAGGCTTCGCCATCCCTGGGATTCTCTAGGCAAGAACAATGGAGTGGGTTGCCATTTCCTTCTCCAATCACTTTTTCACTAGATTACTGGAAATTTTATCATAAGGTATATTGAAATACACTATTTTTCTTTTATTCTGTTAATGCAGTGATTTTAGCAATTTATAACACAAGTTTTCATTCTTAAAATACACTAGACATAGTCCTTACTGATCTTTAGTTTTGTTCTTTCATTATCAAAAGAAGTGTGTTAAAATATCTGATTATGTTTGTAATTTATCTATTCCTCTTACTCTGATGTTCCCTTTTAAAAAATAAGCTTGGAATTCATGTTATTAATATGTTTGCTATTTATTGGCCTTTTTTCATCTTTATGGACTATCTCTTTGAGTCTGTAATACCTCTTTCGTTTAAATCTCTTGTATGATATTAGTATAGACGTTTACATTTTATTTCTAGTTAAGGTTTTCAGCTTTTTACTTTCAAACTAGTCATGTCCTTATTTTTAAAATCTGTAAGCTTTGAATTTTAATGCATTTTATTTTTTATCTAATGTAACAAGCTTTAGCTTTTCAGTAAAGAAATAAGTCTTTTCATAATGAATATAAATTTCTAAATTAGTTGAGCTTAGTTTACCATTACCTATTTTTCTTTTTTCCTGTCCTGTCTGTTCTTTGCCATTGTATTCCTCATTTCTCAACTTCATTTTACATACTTTTTACATACTTTTCCTTTAATTTTTAATGTCCACATCTTATATAAATATTTTATTAATTATTCTTGAGACTACATTCTTCACCTGTTATAACTGAACTTAATTCAACTCCATTCCCCATTCCTTCTTTTCCATTATTTAATCACTAAATTTTACTCATATATATATTATATAATATATATTTTATATATATATATGGTAAAAGACCCCACAAGACATTGTTATAATTACTGCTACAGATCATTGCTACTTTTATATTTAATTATATGTTTGCCTATTTTAGTATATTTCATTATTTGTTTCAATTTTATGATTTCATCTGAAATTACTGACTTTATCCTGAAAAAAATTCCTATACCTTCTCTTAAAATTGAAACTTATTTGAAACAAAAATCTGATTTTTTTCTTTTTGTTTATTAATGCCTTCATTCACCTTCACTTTTGTGCTAATTTGGTAGGTACAGAATTTTAGGTTGGAAAGTGCACAAGTATTGTTATTGTCATTTTCATTACTTTAAAGACATCATTTTATTATCTCCTGCCTTCATATTTTCTGTTAACAAAGGCATTAGTCTTACTGTTGCTGCTTTGAAATTATTGTCTCTGTTAACTTTGATGAGTTTTAAGATTTTCTGCTTGTATTGTCTTTTCAGCATTCTAAGACAAGACTAGACATGATTTAGTTTCTATTTATCCTACTTGATATTTACCAAGCTTCTTGAATTTGCTGGTCATGATATTCATCATTTTTGGATGATTCTCAGACATTAATTCATCAAATATTGTTTCTGTGCCATTTTCTTCATCATCTTCTGATATGCCAGTACACACAATTCAGACCATTTAATTGTACATATTATATGCATCTTGGCATTATATTACCATAATTGAAAATAAAACCTTTAATGGACAGACACCTACTGAGAGACTGGCTGGAAATGGAGAAAAGTTTAGAGAAAATGTGTATAAAACATTCCAGAGGTCACAGTAAGGCTGCATTTATGGAATTGAGCAGCAGGTGAATGTCTACGAGAAACATTGGTCGAGGAAAACAGGAAGTATAAAAATAGAAGCAAAGGGAATTTTATACTCCTGAAAGTATTTAAAAGTATGGGTAGCCAGACATATGAGAAAATGAAAATGATAGTAACTTTTCCTAGGTACAACTCTAAGTTGCACAAGTTAAAAAAAATAAGGAAGCCAGAACAAATACTTATGACAAGAGAATACACATGAAGCACCCTATGTAGGTAGAAATGGATGACTACATTCCAGATACAATTAGAGTGGTCTTAGACATCTCTCACTGGGGCAGAGCAAGTTCTTGGGCATTTTCATGGCACTTCCAAAATCTGAGAGCAGGACAGTGGGCATGAATATCATAAAAGGGATCGGAAAAAAATAACTGCAGATGATGACTTTCCTTTTAAAAGTCTCTAGCACGATGCTAAGGAAGAGAAGAAAAAAGTATAGTTAGAATAATTAAAATTTAAGGTATTTACTCTTTCATGATGGCATATTGTGCACTTTTAAAATATGAAAGCACATCTGCATCTTCAAAGGAAAACTTTCTTAGTATCCTAGAAATTATTTAGTTTTACTTTTCATATATATTCAATTAAATGATCTATGCCACACACTTTAAGAAACAGCTTTCAGGAGTTCATGTATTTTGTGATCCTTAAAACTTTGAACAAAAGTTGTTATTTTGTGAATTTGTGCATTAGCTCAAGATCAGTTTCTAATTGTATCATTACTTGAATGCAGTTTTTCATGTAAGTTTGTTATTCTGTTAACTAATATCAGAGGCATTAACCAAATTCTCTTAGTTATTTTGAGAAATTACTTTGACATGAATTGTATACAGTTCATATAGTGTTTTATGAGGCATGTGGGAGGAGATAAACAGAGGTGAGTTCCTTACTCTGACTTAACCATAATTGTTGCTTGTCAGCACTAGCATCTGTAGCATGTACTGATTGAACATCATTTCCCCCCACAGGTTAGTAAAGTAACAAATCCCACAAGATCAGCAGTGTCTAATGATACTCTTACTATTTTAACAGTTAAATGTGCCCTTAATATAATGTCTTGTGTAACTGCAATTCACTGCAGCATGTTATGAACAT